AAGGATTATTATGAAAGCTGTAGAATCATAGAAAAGTTTATATTTCATAACTGGTGAAAAAGGCAATATATATTACTACTATGCTTATGTAAAATGGGCTATGCATATGGACAAAGTCTAAAATGAAACATGCAATATAAAAATCATTGCATAAAAAGATTATGATGCCCTGACCAGTGTGGCTTGGTACACGGAAGGTCGCAGTTTCAAAACCCAATAAGGGCACATAGGTTGGGCGTGAGAACCAATGGATTGGTATATCTCTCTCACATTGATATTTCTCTCTTCCTTCCCTTTTCTCTAAAAATCAATGAACATGTCCTCGGGTGAGGGTTAAAAAACATGTTATGGACCCGGCCCCAAATGTTAATAGTGCCAAGGTGGAGAAAGGGCGGTGCAAGAAACCTAACACGTGAATCTGAAAGAAAGACTCTGACCATCTCCCTGGATAAAAGGAGAATACAGGAGGAAATCTCCGAGAAGCGCCTGAAGATAGAGGGCGGGCGCAAGTTGGTGTACGCAGTCAGGTCTGACCACAGGGCCACACTCAACCGCACCGATGGCTGGGGGCCCTGGAGGAGGAGTACCTCCTGAGACAGGCATCCAAGAGGAGCTCCAGTCCCCGAGCCTGGCGACACCAACCCCTTCTGCAGGCCCCCACCCCACAGAGGGAGAAAGCAGCCCTCGGACACAACCTCCAAGAGAGGATCCAGAGGCGACAGGAACCACTCCATCCACCACGTGGACAATGGGCTGTCGGGGGAGAGGGGTGACCACTGGCATCCACACAGCCCCCCTCGGCCGACCCCTCACCCCCACTGATGGGTGACTCCACCGGCAGAGAGGCTGCGGCCAGTTGGGAAGGAGCGGATGGGACAGACGGGACGCCGGACAAGCAGGCGCCCTCCCCCAAGGCAAGGCCGGGCCCCAGAGGAGGGCTCGCTGGGAGGTTTGAGCGCCAGAGCCTTTCTCCTACTTGGCAGGGGCCGAGGAAGACGTGCGATACAACATCATGCACTCGATGCCTTCTGACATGGACGGCGTGGAGCCCGTGACCATGATCTTCATGGGGTACCTGAAAGGGTGAGGACTACGCTCTCCATCTTACCCTGGGTAAGGACTACGCCCTCCATCTTACCTTGGGTCCTCCATTTTGGGGCAGAGCCATGTGCTTGGCGGGGCTTCTTCCCGGAAGAAGCCTCTGCTAGCCACACCCAGGATTTCTCTGGACTAGCCAATGATAATCAAGGGAAGTGCACGCCATCACTATGACCACATCCTGTGTAATGAGACACCGACTCGCGCCTGGCCAATTGGCGGGGCCCACACTCCCCTCTCCTGCCCTCACTCCACCCCCCTATAAAACCCACAGTCCCATCAGGCTTCGCGCTCTCTGCCACTGGGCTTACCGTTGCATCGGTGAGTGTGGTCGGGGAGCCGAACTAGTTTGAAATGAAGGACTCTTTGCTTTTGCATCAGACTCGCTGGCTCCCTGGTGGGCTCTTGGGAATCTTGAAATCTGGGCATAGCATTTGGGGGCTCACCCGGGATTCCCAAGACCATCGAGGGACCCCCGATCCGAAGAGTCTGACTGACCGCGGTAGGTGTCTGTGTCGTTTTGTGTTCTGTTCTGTGTGAGCTCGTTTCTGGAATCTGTAAGTGCCTGAGGGGTCTAGGTGGACGCGCTGTGAAAGACCACAGGCAGAGGAGAGTTGGAAGACGTTCCGCTCCCCAGGAGGGATGGATATGCCCCTCACGAGGGATGAGTATGCCCCTCACGGATTTGAGACGAGGCAGGTCGCTCCCGCCGGTTTGGTGTAAGGCCAACGTCTAGTTGCTTCCATGGAGTTGGAAGGCTGTATTTTCGGGCCCTGTTTAGTGTTCTGTGTTTGTACTGGACGGACGTTATGGGACGGACTCAGACTGCTCCTTTGGGTATTGTGATTGATCATTTCAAGGAGATTGGGGGAGGCTTTAGAGCTCCCTCAGGGGTTGGGAAGTTTTTAGGAATTGAATGGATTGTTTAAACTCTGAATGAATGTCTGGTGAAAGTGTGCGAGTGTGGAGGGAGGGGGACTGCCCTCCCCCCTCCTTTGTGTGGCGGTCGGGCGGCTGTCTGAGTGAGGGTCTGTGAAAACAGGTCACCCCCTCCCCAAGTAAATGCGTCTGGGATTTCTGTGCACGTGTAGGGAGAAAAGCTGGCTTAAAACTAATGTGCGCACCATCCGATTTTGGATAGAGTTTTAAGCTGGAATCTCCTTTCAAATGTGCAGGGAAAAAAAGATGCTAGCTAAATTCTAGCAGCAGGATTGGCATTTCCACAATAAAGAACAGTTTTTCCAAAGGGGGAAAGAAGGTTTTATACCAACAGTTACTGTTTTGTTTTAAATCCATGAAAAGGAATTAGCAAGGAAAGTCAGAAAATCTTAGAGTAGATCAGTATGTTTTTCTCCTTATGTAATTCCTCCGAAATCTGGCAATGCTAGATAAGTCATGGTAATACATTTATTTGCATATATTCAATAAGACTGGTTCCTAATAGTGGTTTTATTAACGGAAAACTTTGACTGGAGTATCATGTTTTAAAGAGCCCTGTCTGAGCTCCAAAGACTTGAAGCCAGTAAAAATGCCACGAAGAAAGCCTGGTATCCTGCTTGGGAGCCCTGAAGATGGCTGGCGCTGGAGCGTCAGGCCCATGCCCTACCATCACTGGCAGTTGGTAAGAGTAGAAGGGGAGCAGTAAAGATGCCTCTGTGTCCCTGCAGAACCCCCACACACTCTGGGCTACTGAGATGGGCCTTAAAGCCTAGAGCGTGGGCTCAGGTGGAGTTGCTACAGGTGAGGGATTCACCTAACTCAGCAGATACTGCAGGCAGGCCTGATGGCAGCTGGATGGCTTGGCTTCCTGGCCCTACGGGGCACATTAAGGTTCAACCATGAAATTCCAGCAAAGGTAGTCAGTTACCATTCTTGTTGTGTTTATGCAAACATCAGGACAGTAGATAAATTAATCTTGATTTGGCTTTTTGATAGCCATGGAGGAATTTTAAGAAGAAAAGTCCTATTTCAATAGAAGTTGTTAAATCTAAAATGGTTTCTTTCCCTTCCACCGGACCATTTGTTAAGCTTATAGGGATAGTTCAGTTGATAGTTCTGTGTGCCCAGTATGGGCCTCTAGCAATGGTGGAATAGAAATGCAGTCCGTCTCATGATTGAGCCGGAAGTTCCAAGACAAGGGGGGAATGAAAGGGCAAGGACTATGCCCTCCATCTTACCCTGGGTAAGGGCTACACCCTCCATCTTACCTTGGGTCCTCCATTTTGGGGCAGAGCCATGTGCTTGGCGGGGCTTCTTCCCGGAAGAAGCCTCTGCTAGCCACACCCAGGATTTCTCTGGACTAGCCAATGATAATCAAGGGAAGTGCACGCCATCACTATGACCACATCCTGTGTAATGAGACACCGACTCGCACCTGGCCAATTGGCGGGGCCCACACTCCCCTCTCCTGCCCTCACTCCACCCCCCTATAAAACCCACAGTCCCATCAGGCTTCGCGCTCTCTGCCACTGGGCTTACCGTTGCATCGGTGAGTGTGGTCGGGGAGCCGAACTAGTTCGAAATGAAGGACTCTTTGCTTTTGCATCAGACTCGCTGGCTCCCTGGTGGGCTCTTGGGAATCTTGAAATCTGGGCATAACATACCAGCAGGCAGAAGACCATGCGGAGGAGAGGGGGCTCCTGATGGGCTATGACGGCGTCATCCATGCTGCGCTGGTTGTCATCGATGAGGAGGAGTGCGAGGAAGAAGCTGGGAACCTGCCCCGCCCCCCACCCCCCCAGCCCAGGGCGCCCTGCGGTCAGACCACCAGCCGGCCAGGCCAACACCTCTCTCCAGGAAGAGAGCGGAGGTCAAGCCCCCGGAGAACGAGGCCATCCTTCTCCCCACAAACACTCCCTGTCGCTGAGAGAGCAAGAAGAACGCCTGGGCAGCCCTGTCTGCCCGCCTCCACATGCTGCTCAGACAGCCGGGACGGCACGGGGCCCCGTCACTCACAGCTTTAAGGATAAAAATGGAAAAGCTGGGGGGAAAGTTATCTGAGAGAGAGGTGTACCAGCTACATAAGCATACTTTGGAGAAGAAACTACGAAATGTTTGTCACTTTCTCTCCTGGATACTGTGTTTCTTTCCTTTTCTTTTCGATCCAAAAAAAAAAAAAAATCCAATTATATCCATATTAAGCCATTTGAGTAAGCAGTAGCCATTATTTGTAAAAACAGAAAAATACATATATTGCAAAAAAGCTGGGAGAACAAACACTCAGCTTTTCCAGTTACTTGACATGATTCAGTGGGAGTGAAAACCAGAATATTTTTATTGTATTGATACCAAAACATTTCTAATAAGAGCTTGTTAAATTTAAGAATAAAGTTATTTAAAATAAAAACAAACAAAAAAAACTTGTTATGGTGAAATATATTCTTATTTCTTATAGAGTGCCCTCATAATAAAGTTATTTTTTAAATCTTAAAAATAGGGGCGGGGGTCACCAATCTCCCACCCAGGGAGCACCACCAAGTAAGTGTTCAGCAGTCTGGTGTGACTGGGCTACAAAGATGATAGTGGCTTGGGACTTGAACAAAAATGTCAGAAGGCACCGTGTAAATAAAGGAGCTATTGAACACACCCAGTGAGCTAAGAGCAAAGCAGGAGGGTGACAAAGACAACATGGGGCTCTCCCAGAGCCCGAATTCTGCACTGAGTGAAACAGACATGGACAGCCGGTGTTTGAAACAGTGTTGCTGCTTGGGAAAGAAGGGAAGGTAAGATATTTCTCCACATGGGTTTGATTACAGAAACTAATATTCTTTTTTTTTTTAAAGATATTTCTCATGGGTGCGTCCTCTGACTCATGAAGATGTTTTAGCTCACGAGGCCATGCCTCCCGGTTCCTTTCTTAGGGTCACATGAAAATGAGCAGCGGGTGGGTCATCAGGAGAGGGCTCTTCAGGAAGAGGAAAGTGCCTTTAAAGGAAGCCTGTGGGCAGTGGTGTGGGGGCGCACACACGCACACACACACTCACACACACACACACTCACACACACACTTGCGTGGGGTGACCTCGCCATATATACAGAGCCGCCCTCGCCTCCTCGAGAGTCCTGAAGGAGAATCCCCTGGGTGGGGTCCTGCAGGAATCCCGGCTGGAGCTGACAGGAGTCAGGCCCACTCTGAAGGTTCTCTCCAGCTTCTCTCTCTCCCGTCCTGATTTTTGCCACGGGATGCAGGTAAGTAGGCATGAGAGGGCCCAGTGAGGTAATGGCCAGGGGACAGTGTGGCTTAGCAGTTCAGAGCTCTCAAAGGAGCCTGGCTCTGCCACTGAGCAGCTGTGCAACGTCGGGTAGTTCACGCAACTTCTCTGTGCCTCAGTCTCTCTGTCCACTTCAGGCCTTTCCGCGTGCTTCCCCTACTTTCCCCTTCCTGGTGTGGCCTAAGCCTGTCGTCAGTCCAGTGTCGCTTGGACGGCACTTCCCCAGGAGGCTCTACCTCATGCCTGCAGGGCAGGATTCCTCCAGGTGCTCCCGTCACACCGGGAGGTGGACGCCTCTGCTGGGCACTTGCTTAGGGCCTTGTCAGTGTCCCCACCGGACCTGAAGTTCCTCAAGAGAACAGACTGTATCTGAGTCACCATTGTACCCCAGACCCCTGGCATAGTGCCTCACAGAAAGTGGTCCCCTAAATATTTGGCTGTTCATGAAGGAATGAAAGAAAAGCCTGGATGGTGAATGAGGTAGACAGACCCAGGGAACTGGCAGCCCCCTCCTCCATCGGACTTAGTTGACCACTTATATTGTTGCCCAGACATCCAGCCCAGGGTCTGTTCACCCAGCCGGGATCTCCGGTTGGAACAGGGCCTCCCCTAAAGCCCGATTTTAAGGTTTTACCTTAGGATCCTGCTTTCCCTTCCGATATCAAATTAGCCAACCTCTTTGCTAATCTCCTGGCTCACATTTTTGGAAGCATTTCTCCGAATGTTGTGGTTTCTAGGAAAACAAAGTCAGGGAGAGGAAGCGAAACTCAAACGAAGCCCTGGCCCTCCTGGACGGAGCATCATAGTAAGTCCCGTGGACGTGAGATCAGCCAGGATTCTCCGATTTCCACTCTTCCAGAGGCCAGCCTCAGCTTCTTAGTTTTCCCTCTGCATGTCCATATTCTTGTGTTTCCCTTCTAAAACTTTCCTGACAGGAAAATTTCACATAGCAGAGATGGTCAGGGGGGTTATGTTGGTGGTCTGGTCTAGACAGGCTTCCTCATAGGTGGAATGACTTGAAGGCGGCTGGAGGCATTCCTGAAGGAAAGCTTCTCCCAGCTGGTCTAGAGACCATGCTTGAAAGTCCAACCTCACACCAGTCCTCACTGGGGCCCTCGACAAAACGTCAGTCATCTGGTGGGGCGTGGGTTAAAGTTGTTGCTTGCCAACACCCCCTCCTCCCCGAATTGATCCATTCACTGGAACAGAGAGCCCGGCCCTTGGTGACAAGACAGTCAGTCTGGGGAGGGAGGTTGCCCAGACACACACTTGCATCCCAAACTGCGGGGAGGACTGTTATCCTATTGGGGCCCTGCCTCCTGAAAGCAGGCAGGCTCTTCACCCCAGGACCTGAGGAGGAACAGCTGGTACTCGGGGCCTAAGTCAGGAAAAGAGGCCTCGTGTGATGGGTCAGTTTGGGGAGAGGGGAGGAGACAGGACACCTCGACTCTCCTGGTCCCTGATCTGCACCCTTGCTGTCAGGCTCCTTGGATCCCTGGGGTTCTGTTCCTTCATAGCCTATCCCAAACTGCCCCAGCACATGTCCCCTCTCCACTGAAATCTGAACTTTCATCAGAGACAAATTATTCAATTCACTGTGAGAAACAAGGCATAGAGATTGGGGAAGGCAACTCATCACACTGAAATGCTAATGCCATTGAAGCAGGAACTTCCCTGTTGGCAGGAGCCCAGAGATGAGCCTGGGCTCCGAGACTAGGGGGAGCAAAGGTCACCAAGGGCTGCAGGGGCTGGGGAATGAGGGAGAAGGGCAGGAGCACCCCCCAATCAAGAGCCCTACTCAGTGCTCTGTCTGGCATCAGTCTCTCTACCATAAACGTCAGTCTGGACAAAATAAAAATTTAGGGTAGTCATTCCTAGGAAGGGATCCAGAAAGATGGTAGGATCAGAGAGGCACACTTGGGGCTTCATAATATTAGCAGTAATGACCTATTTGTAAACTGTTGTATTTACATGTTTAATTATCCCATACAATTTACAAGTACAAATATATTATATACATTATGTTTAATTCTTTAAACACTGAAATATTTTATTATATGTGTATGTATATGTATGTGTGTGTGTGTGTGTGTGTGAGAGAGAGAGAGAGAGAGAGAATGATCCATACATTTAAAAAACATTATTTGCAAAACCATGTGTTAGAGAGGAGTGTCAAGACCCTTAAGATGAGACAGACGTATAACTGAATACGAAGTGGCAACAGGCCACTTCTTCAGGAAGTCATGATATTGACCTTTATTCAGATCCACATTGATGTGAGTTTACCCTACTATTACTAGTCCTATTCTATTATATATATATATATATATATATATACATATATATGTATATATGTATATATATATATATATATATCTCCTATCTAATAATAGAGAAACATGGTAATTAACCATAACTTCGCTACCCTTCCCATTGGCTAATCAGCAAGATATGCAAATTAACTGCCAACCAAGATGGCGGCCGGCAGCCAGGTAGCTGAAGCGAACAGGAGGCTTGCTTGCTTCAGTGATGGAGTAAGCCAACATTCCCCGCCTGCCGCTGCTGGCCTCTGAGCTGCAGTCTAAGAAACAATGTTGCAATTATAGAAGCTAAATAAACCCCAGAAACCGGCTTTCAGCCAGCCAGGCCTCAGAGCTGGAGCTGAAACAGTGTTTCAATTATAGAAGCCAAACAAACCCAGATACCTGCTTTCAGCAGCCGAGGTCTCAGAGCTGGAGCCGAGCCTCAGAGCTAAAGCCGGCTCTCAGCTCCAGTGACAGCCATAGAAGGTAAATAATTTCCAGAATAAAAGGAAAAAAAAAGAAAAAAAGGAGAGGTTGGGAGCTTCAGTCACACGCCAGCCTGAAAATGGCCCTCAGCCCCTCACCCAGACTGGCCAGGCACCTCAGTGGGCACCCCCACCCTGAAGGGGGTGCAACCAGCTGCAAACAGCCATCATCCCCTCATCCAGGCTGGCCAGGCACCCAAGCAGGACCCCCCACCCTGATCCAGGACACCCTTCAGGGCAAACCAGCCGGCCCCCACCCGTGCACCAGGCCTCTATCCTATATAGTAAAAGGGTAATATGCCTCCCGGCACTGGGATCAGTGGAGCCTCCCAGCACCAGGATCAGCGGAGCCGCGAGGCCTCCTGGCCCCTGGAGCAGTGTGACAGGGGGCAGCGCCCAAACACCCTGATCGCCCTGCGGCTCTGTGTGTGACGGGGGGTGGGGGGGGCTCACAACCTCCCTATCCGCCCTGCTCTGTTCGTGACAGGGGAAAGCGCCCCAACCCCCTGATTGGCCCTGCTCTGTGTGTGACAGGGTGCGACGGCCTGACCCCACCCCCCCAATGGGCCTTGCTCTGTGTGTGATGGGGTGGAGCCGCAACCTCCCCATCGGCCCTGCCCTGAGTGTGATGGGGGCAGTGCCCCAACACCCTGATTGGCCCTGCTCTGTGGGTGACAGGGGGTGGCGCCGCAACCTCCCCATCGACCCTGCCTTGAGTGTGATGGGGGCGGCACCCCAACCCCCCAATCGGCCCTACCCTGAGCATGACTGGGGGTGGCATCGCAACCTCCCGATCTGCCCTGCTCTGTGCATGACAGGGGGTGGCGCCCCAAATCCACAATCGGCCCTGCTCTGAGCCCAACCAGGGGCTGCACCTAGGGATTGGGCCTGCTCTCTGCCACCTGGGAGCAGGCCTAAGCCAGCAGGTCATTATCTCCCGAGGGGTCCCAGACTGTGAGAGGGCACAAGTGGGGCTGAGGGACACCCCCTCCCCCCCGCCAGTGCACAAATTTTTGTGCCCCGGGCCTCTAGTACACTAATAAAAGAGAAACATGCAAATTGGTGTCACTCCGCTACACCCTCTAGCTAATCAGAGTGACTATGTAAATTAACCCAACAAAGATGGTGGTTAATTTGCATACACAGGCTTGGAGTGAAGACTGAAGACTGAAGTCTGAAGAGGCTTGGCTTCTCCGCTGCGGCCGGACCAAAGGCCTGGGTCCCGGGTGCTGGAGGAAAACCGGTGCCAGCAGCCAGGGGAAGGAAGGCCAATTGCGCGAATCTTTGTGCAATGGGCTTCTAATATATATAACCAAGAAGTTCACAAATCAGTGGAAATATAAAAGATTGTAATGGCTATAAGTAAAGGTATGGAGGAGACATTGTATAACTATATAGGCATGACATTTAAAATTTTTAATCAGTTTCATTGATATATAATTAAAATATAATAAAATTCATTAATTTTCAGAGTAGTTAGATGAGTTTTGTCAGTACATGTAGTTGTGTATTTACCAGCAGAATCTAGATTTAGAACATTTTGATCCCTTCAAAAAGTTTCCTATGTCCCTTATATCAATCCCCTCTTCCATTCCCAGCCCTTGGCAACCATGGATCTGCTTTCTGTCACTAGTTTTACTTTTTCTAGAATTTCATATAAACAGAATCATACAGTGAGTGGTCTTTGTTTCTGGCTTCTTTCACTTAGCATAATACTATTGAGATTTATCCATGTTGTTGCATGCATCTGCAGTTTTTTGCCTTTTTATTGCCTAGTAGTACTCAATTGTATGGATATACCACAATTTATCTATTCACATTAATGAATATCTGAGTTGTTTCTCATTTTTTTCCTTTCATTTTTTAAAATATATTTTTATTGATTTCAGAGAGGCAGGGGAGGCATAGAGAAACATCAATGATGAGAGAGAATCATTGATTGGCTGCCTCCTGCACACCCCCGCCTGGGAATTGAGCCTACAACTCGGGCATGTGCCCTTGACCAGAATCAAACCTGGGACCTTTCAGTCCTCAGGCTGACACTCTAGCCACTGAGCCAAACCAGCTAGAGCTCCTTTCATTTTTAATTGATTTTTTCTTATGGTAAAATATATGTAACAAAGTTTATTTTAACCATTTTAAAGTATACAGTTCAGTGGCATTAATTACATTCACAATGCTGTGTAACTACCACCACTACCTATTTCCAAAAATTTCCATAACCCTAAACAATAACTCTGTAACCACTAAACAGTAAATTCCCATTCCCCCCTCCCTACAATCCTTGGTGATCTCTAATCTTTCTAGTTCTATGAGTTTGCCTATTCTGTATATTTCATATATATATATGTGGAATCATACATATTTGTCTTTTAGGGTCTGGCTTATTTCATTTTTCACAGTTCGTTCAAGTTCTAGCATGTAACAGAACTGCATTCCTTTTTATGGCTGAATAATATAGTTATTCATGTATGTATATACACATTCATCTGTTGGTGGACACTTAGGATGTTTTCATATTTCTAATTTTTAGTTATGAATAAAGCTGCTATGGACATTCAAGTACTAGTCTCTATGTGGACAGATGTTTTCATTCCTCTTGGATAAATATGTAGAAGTGGAATTACGTGATCATTCGGTAAGTGAATGTTTAACCTTATAAGAAACTGCCAAGTTTATTCCCCAAGTGGTGGTACCATTTGCATTCTTACCAGGTCTCTCTGGGCGTTCCAGTTGCTCCACATCCTCACTGACACTTGGTATAGTCCAACTTTTTAACTATCACAATTCCAGTGGGTGTGTAGTAGGATCTTATTTTGGTTTTAATTTGCATTTTCCCGTGTTAATCATGTTGGGTATCTTTTCATGTTCTTAGTTGTCATTTAAATATATATATTTTTTGTGAGATGAAACAAAGTATTCAAATATTTTCCCCATTTTTTAATCATTGTTTGTCTTCTTATTATAGAGTTTTAGATACACGTCCTTTGTCAAATGTTATGTATTCACATTCCAATACATATTCACAAAATGTATATTGTATTTTCTCCCAGCCTGTGGTTTGCTTCTTCATGTCCTTAATGATGTCTTTTGAAGGGCAACATTTAAAAAAATGTTTTTATTGATTTCAGAGAGAGAAGGATAGGGGGATAGAGAGATAGAAACATTGATGTGAATAGATCAATTGTGGTATATCCATACAATTGAATACTACTAGGCAATAAAAAACAAAAAACCTCAATAGTATTATGCTAAGTGAAAGAAGCCAGAAACAAAGACTACTCACTGTATGATGGGATGAGGAGAATGTGTGTATGAGTCGAAGTTGGCAGAAAATGGAGCAATTAAACCCTATCCATTGGGGGATATTTATAAGAGGCTGAGTTTTTAAGCACGATCCTTGGTTCTTCTGTCCGACCCTGGGAGGTGAAGTATCTGTGTCTGTCTTTCCCACCCCATGCTCCCAGTAGCAGAGCTACCATGACCCTCCTCCCTTTGTTCCAGGACACTGTGCTCTCCCCACAGGATGGCATGCTCAAGGACCTGCTCCCGCATCCTGGGGCTGAGCCTCGGGACTACAGCCCTGTTTGCTGCTGGGGCCAACACGGTGCTCCTCTTTCCTAACTGGGATGTGACCTACCTGTTGAGGGGCCTCATTGGCAAGCATGCCATGCTGGGCTCTGGGCTCTGGGGAGGAGGCCTCATGGTAAGTGTCCTGGGTTCTCTGAGCGAGAACTCCCAAAGTGCCCCCCAGGGATGAAGCAGGGAGGTGAAGGGGGAGGAGTGTTTTGATTCCTTGCAAATGAGTTTGACCTAACAAGCTGGTCTGGAGTCTATAGCAACTCCAAAGGATAGAAGAGTCTAGGACAGCGGTTATCAACCTGTGGGTCGACACCCCTTTGGGGGGGTCAAACGACCCTTTCACAGGGGTCGCCTAAGACCATTGGAAAACACATATATAATTACATATTGTTTTTGTGATTAATCACTATGCTTTAATTATGTTCAATTTGTAACAATGAAAATACATCCTGCATATCAGATATTTACATTACGATTCATAACAGTAGCAAAATTACAGTTATGAAGTAGCAACGAAAATAATTTTTATGGTTGGGGGTCACCACTACATGAGGAGCTGTATTAAAGGGTCACGGCATTAGGAAGGTTGAGAACCACTGGTCTAGGAAGACTTGCTGGATTTTGGACTAGGCATACTAGGTGTGAACGTTGCCGTCAACAGAGTCAGGGCAGGCTAGTCATCCAAACCTGGGCCCTGACAGGCAAAACCAAACCCTCTGGGAAAGAGAGGATAATCAAGTCCCCGGGAGGTGCCCAACCAGGCTGGTGCAACAGCCACAGGTGGCGGCAAGAAGTGTCCATTACCCAGTCTCGTCCTAACGCTCTTTCTCCTCTCCCAGGTACTCACTGCAGCCACCCTCATCTCCTTGATGGGCTGGCAATACGGCTGCTTCAGTAAGAGTGGGCCCTGCCGAAGCGTAAGCACCAGACTTCACTCTTCTAATACCTAGAACGTCCCCACATCCCATTACTTCAGAGGCCGAGTGGTAAAAAGGCAATTTTGGTCTTGGGGTTTGAAGTCAGGTGCTGGTCATGCCCCTTAATCACTCTAAGCTCTTGGGCGAGTGGCTTAACTTTCCTGAGCCTCAGGTCCTCATCTGTAAAATGGGGGTTAACAGAATCAAGTCAATGACCCTGTTATTTAACTAACCATAAATGTTGTAATGAACCATGAATGTTGTAATGAACCATAAATGTCTATACACATGTGAGAACTGTTGTTATTAATTTTTTACCTTATTGAACAATATGAACATGAGTTATGTACATTGCAATCATGTTGTTTTATAATTTGAATATATTTTTATTGATTTCAGAGAGGAAATTGAGAGGTAGAGAGAGAGATAGAAACATCAATGATGAGAGAGAGAGAATCATTGATTGGCTGCCTCCTGCACGCCCCTTACTGGGGATCAAGCCCGCAACCCGGGCATGTGCCGTTGACTGGAATTGAACCTGGGACTCTTTCAGTCCGTAGGCTGACACTCTATCCACTGAGCCAAACCAGCTAGGGCAGTGGTCGGCAAACTCATTAGTCAACAGAGCCAAATATCAACAGTACAACGATTGAAATTTCTTTTGAGAGCCAAATTTTTTAAACTTAAACTATATAGGAGGTACATTGTTATTAACTTAATTAGGGTATTCCTAAGCTGGCCTTTGCTAAAAACGTCCTCAATCTGATTGAGGTACGTTCGCTGAGGTTGACCCCTTCCAACTCTCCCATCCACACTCATCTTGTATACTTGTTTGTCTATCTCCTTTCCGAAAACCGACTTCTGTGCATGGGCCATGAAGTTTCAATCACACTGTACATGATTGCCAGCACGTGATATTTTGTGGAAGAGCCACACTCAAGGGGCCAAAGAGCCACATGTGGCTCACGAGCCGCGGTTTGCCGACCACTGAGCTAGGGCGTAATCATGTGTTTTTGAAAGAAAATTTCTTGCCTATTTTGTTTAAATTTTTCTGTGAGCTGGAAGGTTCTCCAGAGATCATCTAAAGACTAGATTCTAGTCTAACCTCTCCATTTTACAGATAATGAAACTGAGGCCCAAATACTACTGTAATTGCACTTTATTAATCACAGTAGCATCTATATTTATTTGAAAACTCTGTTTTCTTACACATTATGTTGCCTATTCATTCTCAGACACGTGGACTGGTGGCCTCCTTACAGTAACCCCACAGCCTACTTTGGTATCTGCCACCTGTGTAGTGGGAACCCCCTGATTCAGAATTACATGCTAAAGAATTAAATATAAGCACCCACACATTTCACTCACTGTCTGTTCTCAGTCACATCTGTTTTCCCCTAAGGGAATGGTTCTCAGGTTGAGCTACACCAGAACGCTCGCAAGGTCTGTTAAAACACCAGTTGCTGGGTCCCCCCCTGTACCCCTCTCCCCGCGCCCGCCAGGCCCCCCCCCCCCCCCCCCCCCGAGTTTCTGATTCAGTAGGCCTGGGGTGGAGAGGGAAATTTTGCATTGCTAACAAGTTTCCAGGTGAGGTGATTGACGCTGCTGGGACAGGGACCACATTTTGAGAATTACTGTTCTAGGCTTACATCAGAGTAATTAATCTTGAATCTTTTAACTTAGAGTCAAAGCTTACCACGCACCTGGCCCTGCCCGGGTAGCTCAGTTGATTAGAGCACTGTCCTGATACACCAAGGCTGTGGGTTTGATCTCAGGTCAGGGTATATACAAGAATCAACCAATTAGTGCATAAATAAGTGGAACAATATAAACCTCTCTCTCTCTCTCTCTCTCTCTCTCTCTCTCTCTCTCTCTCTCTCTCCCCCTCCCCCCTTCCCTCCCTCCCTCCCCCTCTCTCAAATTGATAAAAACAAACAAACAAAACCTTTCTCTGTGCCCTCCCAAGCTTCAAACCAGCTTGAGATCAGTGGGGGAAAAACTATGATTCTGTATAAAAAACTATTTATACGTGTGTTTTGTAATTTTAAAATATGTATTCTTTGGAAAGGAGAATAAAAGATTTGGTATCCTGGGAAAGAAGACAATTTGGAAGCGAGCTAAAATCCTGCCATAAAATAAACTCATTGCTCTCTTTGGGAGGGGAGAGCAGTGTACAGATGAGAAAAGGACAGTGACAGACCGGTGTCATTTCAGAGTCGACTGCTGTTTGTCTGTTTCTCTTCTCCTCTGTCCCTGACTCCCTCCTTCCCTGCTTCCTCCCTCCCTCCCTCCCTTTCATGCTTGATTTGAACAAGACTGGAATCGGGGATGGGATGGGAGAAAATACAGCTTTGCCTTAAAAGAGTCAGAAGAGGGCAAACGACAATCCGACTCTTTAACGCAGAGGCTGAATGACTGTGTGTGAAACACTGAAAGGTGTGAAAGAGCAACACTGATCAGTTGCCTCCTATACTGATCAATGCCTCAACCGGGGATCCAACCCGCAGCCCAGGTGTGTGCCCTGACCGGAAATTGAGCCCACAGTGGGCGTGCAGGACGATGCTCCAGCCAATTGAACCACACCGGTCAGGGCTGAGCTTAAAAGCTGTTGATGCCAACCTGTTGAGACGGTCCAAGGGCCTGCGGACACAGGCAGATCCAGGTTCAAGTGCCAGTGTGCCCCCTTCTCAGTTCTTTCTCTTCCACCCCTTCCTAGCTCTACCCTGTGACCCCTCAGCAGCCACCCTTCCTTGGTCAAGCTTGAAAGGAGGTGCCACGGGTGGGAGTAGCCCCGTGTGATATCATGGAGACAGCCTGAGCACCAGAGAAGTTTCCAGGTGGCCCCACAAGTCACCTAGTCACGACCCCAACTCAGACTCACTGTTTCTTTTCTTTTTTGTTAATCCTCAATGGAGGATATTTTTTCCATTAATTTTAGAGAGAGTGGAAAGGACAGGAGAGGGGGAGAGAGAGAGAGAGAGAGAGAGAGAGAGAGAGAGAGAGAGAGAGAGAGAGAGAGAGAGAGAGTGCACCACATCGAGTGGTTGCCTCCCTCACATGCTCATCCAACCAGGGAGGGGAACCCGCATCCCAGGTACATGGCTTTGACTGGAATTGAACCCGCTACCCTCCGCTTGGCGGCTGATGCTCTAACCACGATCCATGCCAGCCAGGGCTCACTATTTTTTCTCTCTCTCTGTAGATGCTCGCTGCTCTATTATCAAGTGGCCTGGCTTTGCTTGGAGCCTTGATTTGCTTTATTACTTCTGGAGTAGCCCTGAAAGATGGTCCATTTTGCATGTTCGATGTCTCATCCTTCAACCAGACGCAAGCTTGGAAATATGGTTACCCATTCAAAGACCTACGCGACAGGTAAATGGATGGAGACTTGAATGAATTTTCAGCCTTTTCAGAGAAAGAGAGAGAGCGAGAGATTGGGGGGGAGGGGGGAAGGAGAGTGGGAGAGAAAGAGAGAGACTACAAACTCCTTTTGGTGATGCATTCTAGCATCTCACTCCTCTGACGCTCAAACATTGCAAATGCAGCAACAACAGTTACCCTCAAGAATGAGTCTAGGCCTGTGACCTGAGCTGGGGGAGGCTTCGGCTGTCGGTTGAGGTTGCTTATTTGGCATTTCTTACTTGTTCCTTGTCTCTTTATTTGTGGGAACAGGAATTATTTATATGACCATTCCCTCTGGAACTCGGTCTGCCTGGAGCCTTTGAAAGCTGTCATTTGGCACGTGTCCTTCTTCTCCGCTCTCCTGTGCATCAGCCTCCTCCAGGTTCTCCTGGTGGTCACCCACTTCTTCAACGCCTTCCTGGGCCTTTTCTGCAGCCTCTGTGAGAAGCCATAGGCAATGCCACTTCACGGACACGGCTTTCATCAGAAACTGCCTTGAATCCTTTCTGCAACTAGGGTCCTCATCTGTAAAATGACCCTAGTCACCTTGATCTTGGACTCCTGGTTCGTAGGTCGAGGCTCAACCACTGAGCCACACGGGCAGGGCACGTATCAATCACAAACAGACTTCCCTTTTAGGTATTCCTGTGGTAATTATAGCAATAATAATTCCTTGCAAGTATGTTGCATGATGTTATGCATTTTAAATCACATTGTAAACTGCATGACATATTAATAGAAGGAATAATTGTCATTTTTATTGTGTAAGAACTTAGTCCATAAAATGTCCTCCAGCCATGATCTCCTTTCAGCTTAACAACCCCATAAAAGTTGCCACATGTAACCCACAGAGAAGTTAAGGCTCCTACAGGATAATGGACTTGCTTCCCCAAAGCACTCAGTTAGGTTCAGGTGAAGTCAGTACTTGAGCCCCTATCTTCTAAATTCATCAGTAGTTATGGACTAAATTGTGTGTCCCTACCTCCTGCCCACCCCCTGCCGCCCCAAACTCACAGGTTGAAGCCCTAACCCCCAATGTGACTTTATTTGGAGGTAGGACCTTGACGGAGCTAATTAAGGTTAAACAAGGTCACAAGGGAAGGACTCTAACCCAGGAGGACTGACATCCTTCTAAGAAGAGGATGAGATGCCAGATCTCTCTCTACATGAGCACCGGAGAAAAGGACGTGGAGGACATAGCTAGAAGGTTGCCAACTGCAAGCCAAGGAGAACGGCCTCAGACACCAACCTTGTTAGCACCTTGATCTTGGACTCCCAGCCTCCAGAAAATAAATTTCTGTTGTTAAAGCCACCCAGGCTGTGGCGTTTCGTTACAGCGCCCTGAGCTGGTTAACCCCCCAGCGTTCTTTTCACTAGCGTCAGGGCAGTTCAGTCGGTGGTATACACTGAGCATACACTGTGTGCCCGACATTCCCGGCTGTGCACGCGGTCAGGAGTCTGAGGCTCACTAGCTGTGTATCTTTGGACCTCTATGGGTCTCAGGGTTCATGTCAGTTTATTTTTAAAATAGTTTTTTATTAATTTCAGAGAAGAAGGGAGAGGGAGAGAGATGGAAACATCACTGATGAGAGAGACTCATTCATCGGCTGCCTCCGGCATGGTCCCTACTGGGGACCGAGGCTGCAACCCCGGCATGTGCCTGAAAGGTTCGGCGTGGGCCGGGGTTGCGCACCTATGACATGAGGCCATAATGTATCAAAAAGGATTTTATTCCCCAACACCTGAGTGCAGGTGGGCTGAGACCGAGAAAGGCATCAGCGAAGAGAGCCGCTCTGCTGACATAAGGGTCCGGTCCGTCCTTGGTTCCTCCCATGCCAGGTGTCTTCTGGTTATCCGAGCTATGCTGTGCTCAAGGCTGCAGCTTTCTGCAAGATGTCTGCTAAGCACAATAAGTTTTTCTCCGCCCTAGTTTATTCTCTTCAACACTTTCAGTGCCCTGACTGAGAACTCAAAGGTGACCTCCTGGTTCTTAGGTCGAGGCTCAACCACTGAGCCACACGGGCAGGGCACGTGTCAATTTCTTAAGATTGTGAAGCGGTTAATAAGAGCTAGTGCGTAATAAAATATTTTGTAAACCAAGGCAGAACTACATCAATTTGGGCCGAAACTACAGTCCGGCGTTCTTGGCCGGGTCTGCCCAGCAGCGGTGCGCAGGCGCGGGGAAGAGCCCTCGGAGGAGGGGGAGCCGCTCAGCCGAGTGTGCGCGCGGCCCGCACACGTCACCGCCGAGGGCGGCCCTGTTGCCTTGGCGACGGTTTCGCGGCTCAGGGCCGCAACCAGCAGCTCCTCATCGCGAGACCCGCCGGGCCGAGAAGCCCCGGCCATGACTTCGTCGGGGGCTGTGTCCGTCTCCGTGGGTGCGTCCGTCTCTGGGACAGAGGGGACGCTTGAGGCTGACAAGATCTCTGGGAAGTCCGAGAACACCTATATTCTGCGGCCCGTTTTCCAGCAAAGGCGGGTACAGGACGGGTTGCGGCGGGGCGACCTGCGGGACTGCTGGGCCGGGCAGGCAGAGCTCGCCGGGAAGCCTGGGTGTCGGGCAGGATCCCGGGGAGAGGGAGGCGGGGGAGCAGCGGGCTGGGGCTGGGGAGGGGCGGGGCGGGGCTGACGAGGGAGCAGCGGGTTGGGGCGGGGCTGACGAGGAAGGGGCGGGGCTGAAGAGGGAGGGGCGGGGCTGAAGAGGGAGGAGCTGGTCGGGGGAGGGCGGGGCTGTTCTTGACTTCAGCTGCAGGGGGCAGCAGAGGACCCGATCTGCAGTTGTAGTGTTAGAGCTCTGCAGCGCTTAAGGTTAGCGCAGTGGGGGTGGTTGGCTCTGAATCTAGGAGACCCAGGACGTGAACACAGGAAAAGGAGGTGGATGGAAAAGAGAGGAGCAGAAAACAAGCGGCTTGGCTTAACCGGTTTGGCTCAGTGGCTAGGGCGTCGGCCTGCGGACTGAAGGGTCCCAGGTTTGATTCTGGTCAAGGGCATGTACCTTGGTTGCGGGCACATCCCCAGTAGGGGGTGTGCAGGGGGCAGATGATTGGTGTTTCTCATTGATGTTTCTAACTCTCTCTCTCCCTTCGTCTCTGTAAAAAAATCAATAAAATATATTTTTGAAAAGAGACATTACTTAAAAGAAAAAAAAAATAAGCTGCTTGCGTCGAATGTCATTCAGCCGAATTTTGAAGTTTACTGTGTGCATACGTGTGCCAGAATAGCTTACTTCTCTGCAGGGCAGGGGACCTGAATGTATGTGGAGGTCCAAGCATACAGTCTAGTGCTGAGGACAGTCTGCTATCTGCTACACCTGTGGGATACATCACTAACTTTATTTTCACAAGGTTCCCAAGCTCTTTCTCTGTTGCTTAAAATCAGATTGCTGAATCAAATGCTTGGCAAATATTGGAAGCCAGGAATTTTGATTATAATGTGATAAACACTGGTGAGTAGAATGGATACAAAAAAGAGATATGTTCAGTTATTTTTGTAAAGTTTTCTAAAAGCATAGAATGACATTCACCAGTGTTTCTGCTGTAAAACAGTGCAGAACATGATTCACAAAAAATATGTTATATAAGAATAATCCTATTAAATTATTTGTGACTTGTTTGAAGAAAACTTTTAACATTTACTGAGAATGGAAAAGGCTTAAGAGAAAAGCCAGATATAGTATGTTTGTTAATAGGGAGACCACATTTTGAACAGATCAAATCCTGTAAATTTGTCAATGATTCCAAAGTTCATCTGTGAGAATAAGCAGGCAGAAGACTAAAGAAAATACTGTTAAAATGTAATAAGGGGCCACTAGTACTACCAAATATTAAACCACATTATAAACTCAAAACTTAAAACATTCTGGTAACTAGGCACATGATAGACAAATCAGCTATAGACTATCTAGCCCAGAAAAGGAACTTAGTGTTATAATATACTAGAGGCCCGGTGCTGGGCACTGGTGGGGTCCCTCAGCCTGGCCTGCAGGGATCAGGCGGAAACCGGCTCTTTGACATCCCCCGAGGGGTCCTGGATTGCATGTCCCAGATTGCGAGAGGGCGCAGGCCAGGCCGAGGGACCCCACTGGTGCACCATCAGGGTGGGGGAGGAACCATGGGAGGGCTCCAGGGCGCCCCAGGGCATATCTGGCCCATCTAGCCCAGTTTCAATTGGCCAGACCCCAGCAGCAAGCTAACCTACTGGTTGCAGCATCTGCCCCCTGGTGGTCAGTGCGCATCATAGTGACTGGTCGAACAGTTGAATGGATGGTCGGATACTTAGCATATTAGGCTTTTATTATATAGGATGATAAATACAACTAAATGCTAGTGGCATTGTTAGGGTGGTGGAATTAGGGAAGATTTTTTTTCTCTGTCTTCCTTTCTTCAATAATCCATTTCTTCAAAAAAATTATTGTCTACTGAGTGCTGGGTGCTGCTCTAAGAAATAAGGACATAACAGTGAACAAAACAAATAAAAAATCCCTACCCTCATGGAACTTATAGTCTAAGTAAAAGGACAACAAACAAGATAAATAAATTAACCATATAGTGTATCAGACAGGAAGGGAGATATAAAGTGATATAGTAAGAGGGTAGTTTGAAGTTTTAGAGAGGGTGACTAGGAAAAGTGATTTTTAAAAAAATATATATTTTTATTGATTTCAGAGAGGAAGAGAGAGATAGAAACATCAATGATGAGAGAGAATCCTTGATCAGCTGCCTCCTACACGCCCCACACTGGGGATCAAGCTCACAACCCGGGCATGTCCCCTGACCAGGAATGAACCTTGACCTCCTGGTTCATAGGTCAATGCTCAACCACTGAGCCATGCAGCCGGGCGGAAAAGTGACTTTGAATAAAGACTTGAAAGAAGTGAGGGAGTTAGCTATGCATCAAAGGAGGAATTGGAGTTCAGGCAGAAGTTAACAGTAAGTACAGTAGCTCTGAAGTTTGCATGCCTGGTGTGGTTAAAGAACACAGTGAAGGCCAGTGGGGCCTGAGTGGCGAGAACTAGGAGGAAAGTGGTAGGAAACAAGGTCGCAGAGTTTTGTAGGGTAGATCATATGGGACCTTGCAGATCACAGTTAGGATATCGCTTTTACTCTGATGTAGGAACTATGTGGGGTGTTTGGCATAGAGGAGTGTCATGATTTGGCAGAGTTTAACAGGATCAGTCCAGTTGCTGTGTTGAGAACAGGATTTAGGGACAAAGGTAGATACAGAGAGACTGGTTAGGAGGTCATTGCAGTCCAGGCAAGAAGTAATGGTAGCTTGGAGCAAGGTGGTGACGGTTGGTGAGAATAAATTTTAGATTATTTTGAAGGTAGAACTGATAAGATTTGCATATTAATGGGATACGGGCTGTGAGAGAGAAAAGTAACAAGACTGACACCAAATTTTGTGGCTTCAGCACCTGGAAGACTGGAGGTGACTGCAGGAGGACCTAGTGTGGGGAAAGGAGACAATGAGAAGCTCAGTGTTGGATGTTTACATTTGCGTTGCCTACTAGACATCCAGATGGAATATGTGTTGGAATATGTGGTCTGGAGTTCAGGGGAGAGAGAAGACTTATTTTCTTTATTCGTTTTTTTTATTACTTTTATAATAAACATATGAAAAAGGATGAAATGGTTCTAATGACAGAGAGCTAGAGGAAGTTGAGCTGGGAAGGTAAGCTGGGGTTTTGGAGTTACCAATTAGGTGTTTAAACCGTCTCGTTCAGGTTCAGACCCTCCGTGGTTAAAGACTGCATCCATGCTGTGCTCAAGGAGGAGCTGGCAACCTCTGAGTACTCTCCAGAAGAAACACCTCTGCTCACAAAGCGTCTATCAGAAACGATTAAAGATAAATTAAAAGGTAAGAATGGTGATCGTTAGAAATGACTTGTTCCCTTCAAACATTCAGTTTTACCCATCTGTCTCCTTCCCCATCTTTACACAAAGGACATAAGCTGTGGATTCTATTAAAGACACATTTTTCTTTAATGTCTAGTCTCCTCAATTATATGGTAACTTTTTATATGTAGTTTTTTGCAGATGATGGGAAAGAATAAAGATGTGAAATAAGACATTGTATGGAATCACTATCCAGGAAATCCAAATACGCAGAAAACCCAGGAAGTACAGGGGGTCCTTCCCCTGTACTAGTAATTCTTGGCTGTTTTCCCACCAAGATATCAGTTCCTCAGCCTGCCATTCACTACCCTACTCAACCCTCTACTGCTGCCAAACTCTACATGTGCAGAGCAAATCTTGTGCTTTACTTACCGTTTTTAATCTTTCTCTCTCTTATTAATAATGTTATACCATCTGGCCCTGGCAGGTGTGGGTCAGTGGTTGAGAGTTTACCTGTGAACTAGGAGGTCATAGTTTGATTCTGGGTCAAGGCACATTCCCAGGTTGTGGGCCCGATCCCCAGTGTGGGGCGTGCAGGAGGCAGCTGACCAATGATTCTCATCATTGATGTTTCTATCTCTCTCTCTCCCTTTCCCTTCTTCTCTGAAACTAGTAAAAATGTATTTTTTTTAAAAAAATTTTTATATCATCTGAAAAGCCCTCTCTTTCTAGCTATCCTTTTTAAAAAATATCACTCTTTGGAAAGAAGAAATATCTTCGTAATAATAATACATTTTCATTATAATTAACCTGGACTATACAGTAGTGTGCCCTTATTTGCGGGGATATGTTCTAAACTCCTCTTGGATGCTTGAAACCAATGATAGTGCCAAACCCTATATATACTATGTTTTTTCCTGTACATACATACTTGCGATAAAGTTTAACTTATAACTCAGGCACTATAAGATTAACATAATAAAATAGAATGATTATATTAGTTAAAAAGGGAAACTTTGTTCTGTATATTTTGTTACCTTTTACAGAATAATAAAAGAAGGACATGAAAACCATGAAAAAAATAGAATGGTTATAACAATATATATTGTAATGAAAGTTACGTGAATGTGGTGTCTTTCTCTCAAAACATCTTACTGTGTTGCATTCACCTTTTCATTTAAAGGACGCACTTTACGGCTTCCTTTTGGCATATCCGAATTGCCAGCATCACTACTCTTGTGCTTTGGGGCTAGTATTTAAGTAAAATAAGTCAATTGAATACAAGCACTGCAATACCTATACAGTGGGTCTGATAACTGAGACGGCTACTGAGTGACTAAAGGGTGGGTATTGAATACAGTATGTGGACAAAGGAATGATTCAAGGCCTGGGTGGGACAGAATGGGTCAGTGTGCGATTTCATCATGCTATTCAGATGGGTCCACAATTTCAAACTTATGAATTGTGTATTTCTGGAATTTTCCATTTGATATTATCTACTGCAATTGACAGGGAAATTGAAACTGCAGGAAGCAAAACTGCAGATAAGCGGGGACTACTGTATAGACACATTTTTTAAAAAGTATAAAAATTTTAATTACTTAATGGTAAATACTATTTAATATTTTGGTGTCTTAATTTTTTAATGTCTTAATTTTTTTGAAATGAAAAAAAATAAAGTATAAAAAATATTCTATGTATTTTCATCACCCATATTAATTGTTAGTATATTAGCATTTTCTTTAAATTTTAATGAAAATTCACTGTTAAAATTATTGTTAAAAATACATGCTCATTTGCCCGGTCTGGTGGCTCAGTTGGTTGGAGAGAAAGAAACATCGATGTGAGAAACACTGATGGGTTGCCTCCTGTACACTCCCCGATCTAGAATTGAACCTGCAACTTTTTTTGGTACATGGGACCATGCTCCAACCAACTGAGCAACCTGACCAGGGCCTATGTGCAGTGTTTTTTAAAAAAATAGCTTGGGCTCTAACTTCTGAGATTTTGTTAAGTATCCTTAATTAGGGTTCATGTCCCACATGGAAGGGTACCTGTTGTGTCCAGGTTGTTTGCCTAATCCTATATAATAAAAAGCTAATATGCAAATCTACTGAACAGCAGAACGACCGGTCATTATGATGCATACTGACCACCAGGGGGCAGATGCTCAACACAGGAGCTTCCCCTGGTGGTCAGTGTGCTCCCACAGTGGGAGCACCACTCAGCCAGAAGCCGGGCTCACAGCAGCAGTGGTGGCGGGAGCCTCTCCTGCCTCTGCGGCAGTGCTAAGGATGTCCGACTGATGGCTTAGGCCCACTCCCCGCCTAAGCCATCAGTCAGACATCCCCCGAGGGCTCCCGGATTGCGAGAGGGTGCAGGCCAGGCTGAGGAGACCCCCCCCCAAGTGAATGAATTTCATGCACTGGGCCTCTAGTTTACTATATAATCCTGAGTTTTTACTTTCATTAAAGAGAGTTAGCTCTGTTTCAACTTTGCCCATTTCACATTGTTGTTGTTGTTACTGTTTCCACTATTCACTGGTCAGAAACCAGGGAAGATAAACATATCCATTCAGTTTTCTTCTCTCCAGATTTGTTATTAGTGAGAATTTTCAGGATTTTGCTTGTATAAAGTTACATACTAAGCTTATAGTTAGGGTTTGTCCTCAGGTCTCTCTGACTCCCAAACTTATCATCATACTCAGTAAGTGCTTGTAGACTGAATGCTTATGTTCTTTTCCAGGCAAATTTGCCTTCATTAAGTAATTTTACCATATATTTGCTTACAGATAACATTCTTATTTTTTTCTTTCTTTCTAGCAATGGGATTTGACCGATATAAAATGGTGGTGCAAGTAGTTATTGGAGAACAAAGAGGTGAAGGAGTATTGTGAGTAATTGGTTTTTCCTTCTTTTTAAAAAATATTTTTATTTATTTCAGAGAGGAAGAGAGAGATAGAAATATCAATGATGAGAGGGAATCATTGATTGGCTGCCTCCTGCACGTTGGGCTGAGCCCGCAACCCTGGCATGTGCCCTTGACTGGAATTGAACCTGGGGCCCTTAGGTCCGCAGGCCAACGCTCTATCCACTGAGCCAAACCAGCTAGGGCATTGTTTTTCCTTCTTGATTTCATTCTTATGTTTCTTATGAGGTAGTCATCCTCTTCACAATTCAGTATGATTGTGTTTTGCAAGTGAGAGTAAAGGACAGTATAACAAAATGCAGCTGTGAACCCAAGAGATCTTGGTTCTGAACAGTGAGGTTGACAGTTTGGGTGAGCTTCATTGGGTAATTCACTTTTCATAGTATCTGTAGGCTGATAAGTGTTTTAGGGTTTATGCATATACCAGAGGCCCTGTACACGAATTTGTGCATGGGTGGGGTCTGGTCAGCCCACCCCAATCGGGGCCGATCAGGGCCGGCCGGTTGGGGGGAAGGTCTGCGGGAGGTTGGCCCACTCCCATTGGGCCAGTTGGCCAGCCTCAGTGTGCGTCATAGCGACCGGTCGTTTCGGTCATTCTGGTGGTCCTGTCACTTAGCTTTTATATATATAGATGTTCCCAAAGAAAGTATGAGACTATGTATATATGTTTCCTCCCATATTCCTTATTTCCCAATTTTTGGTCCTACCATTATTCAAAATAAATTTATTTAAAATTGCCTGAGACCTCCTTATTAGCAAATCTAAAAGCTCTTTCTTAGCTCTTGTGTTTGCCTGGGCTTCTGTTTCTGAAAATTCACTCTGGTTTTATTGGCCTTGACGTCACTTGTCTAACTTGTTTCTCTCTTGTTTTTCTAACTGATTATTCTCTTTTCTTCACTGGGTCCTCTTTATTCCCTCTATCCCCAGCTACGAGCTTTCTTCAAGGCTCAGTTCTTATTCTTCTGCTCTTCTATATGCTTTCTCAATGAGCTCATTCATTCTCATGACCTCAAACTTTCATTTCTGTATGGATAATTTCAAAATATGTATTTCTTGTCTTTTCCCATGCACAAGTGTTAATCTCTTGTTTCCATTTGTAAACAGTGCCTAGTATAGTATCCTATATAATTAAAGGGTAATATGCAAATTGATCCTAATGATGGAACAACTGGGAATGACCGGTCGCTATTTTGCGCACTGACCACCAGGGGGCAAACGCTCAATGCAGGAGGGAGCTCTGCTCAGCCACAAGCCAGGCTGACGGCTACAAGTGCAGCGGTGGTGGCAAGAGCCCTCTCCCAAGGGCTCCTGGGCTGCCAGAGGGATGCCTGACTGCCAGCTTAGGCCCCATCCCTTGGGGAGCAGGCCTAAGCAGCAGGTGGACATCCCCCAAGGGGTCCTGGACTGCGAAAGGGCACAGGCCGGATTGAGGGTCCTCCCCCCCCCCGCCCCGTGCAGGAATTTTTGTGCACTGGGCCTCTAGTTTTGTAAGAAAATGCTAAAATATTTGTTGAATGAATTAAAAAATACCTTGTAGATAATATCACTGAGAATTTTCACTATAGAATGTTAAATTTGAAAGGCACTACAGATATTTCCTAGTGTCTAGTTCCCCTATTTTATGATGACACTTATGAGATTCAGCATGATTTGCTCGAAATTATAGATATGGCTGCTGTCAGGGTCACTAATAGAATTCAGACGTCTGACTCCTAGCACAGTACTCTTCACCATGGTGTTCTCTACCATTTGTTCAAAAGGCTTCAGGAGATTTTCTGACCACAGAGAGGCTCAGAAATACTTTACTATTCTGTCACCCCAGATTTAACATGTTAAGAGTTCCAAATTTCCTTTCCTTCCTCTCCTTAAATCAGCTTGTCACTTTAACTTCTTTGTCTCTCACAGTATTACCAAGGTCCTACTGACTCAGGCTTCAAACTTTAGAGTCTACTTTTATCTTATGTAGCCATTATTCTCTCCCATTGCATGCAGTATAATCTGGATGCCAGGAATACTTAGCAGCAGCCCCTTATCAGCACTCCTGGACTCTGATCTCCCTCCTCCACAATTCATTTTGCATACCAGACCAATCTCCCAGGAGTACACCTTACTTTCTCTCCACAGACTCTATATAGAGTTTATTTCAAATCGTGTCAGGTAACAATTCCTTTAAATTGACTTGGTTAAATGTGATCAGGCTGAACTCTAAAGCATGGCATACAAGTCCTCCCTCCACCCCCCTGGTTCTAAAAATCTTATTGTCTAAAATTTCAAACATATGCAAGTGTAGGGACTGAGGAACTCCCATGGATCTATTACTTGGCTTGAAAGGTTATCAACACATACCTATGTTGTTTCATTTATATATCCACTGCCCCCTCCAGCTTATTTTGAAGCAAATCCCAGTCATCATACCATTTCATCTGTAAATACAACAGTATATATGTCTAAACTATAAGGACCCTTTTAATATAATAAAATATCACATCTAAATATTGTTAGTCCTTAATATTATAAAATATTCAATTAGCATTCAGATATCCCCAGTTGTTTCATATATATGTGTGTGTATGTGTGTTTGTCTGTCTGTATATATGTATTTTACAGTTGGTTCAAATTAGTATCCAGGCAAAGTCCACACATTATATTTGGTTGATAATCTCTTAAATTTCTCTTAATATATAACTTCTCTCCCTCTTTTTGCTCTTGCTTTGTCTTTTTTACCTTACCATTTATTTGTTGAAGAAATTGTGTTGTTTGTCTTATAGAGTGTCCTATCTATATTCTGGCATTTTCTGATTGTGGTGCCTGGTATTGTTTACTATGTCTTATATCTCCTCTTTCCTTGTAAATAAGTAGTTAGATGTAGTCTTAATCAGTTGGAGATTTGAGTTTTGGGCAAGAATATTACATAGGTATTTAGTATGCATCCTATTGCATCTCATCAGGAGGCAGAAAATGTCTGGTTGTCCGTTTTTTGTTAAGATTGATCATAGAGTTCAGATGTTGTCAGACAGATCCATCTATTGTAAAGTTCCCTATCAGCTTCACCATTAATAGTTTTAGCAGCTGTCCTAGATCCATTATTCATCAGAGGTTACAAAATAGTGCTCTTCTAATTCTACCATTGTTCTTTATTTATTTGCTGAAATTCTATTAAGAGTGACTTTTCTTTCAACTGTTTCATTACAGTGAGGTTTAGCTTGTACAGGGAAGGGAGGATAATTTTAATAATATTCAGAATAATGAATTGGTTCCCTAGCATCTTCTAGAGGTTACCAATGAGTCTTCTTTTTTTCTATCTATGAACCCATGGTTTTAAATATATTTGATGTGTTTAAATCCATTGTGGTTATTATCCTTATTGATGTCTAAATTGTCCCATCTTTTGCAATTAGTAGTATCTTCAAGTTAACTCCTGATTCTTTTTATTCCTTTTTAAATAAAACAGAAGGCGTATATCTCTTCTCAAAACATACTACACCAGGTAGCAGGCCAAGCATGGAGTGGTGCCTTACTGGGGTCAAGGACGTAGGCTCCTCTGTCTTGTTGCTCTGCTTATTCTCCTTTACGTGGTTGAAGATGGCTCAGTACTACGTTACATTCCTTAAGGAAAAGAGACAGAAGGAAATGTACGTGCCCTTCCATTTGCAGCACTTTAAAGATATAATTACGCTGTCTTCCAGTTTCCATTGTTTCTGTTGAGAAGTCAGCTATAAGTCTTATTGTTCCTTTGGAGGTGATGTCTTTTTTCTTTCTAGCCACATTAGAATGTTTTCCTCATTGTTTTTTTTTTTACTCTGGTGTATATGATTTTCTTCTTATTCATTAGCATGGGGTTCTCAGAGCCCATGGAATCTGTGGGCCACTGAATCTTGTTTGTATAAGCTTGGGGAAATTCTTAGTGTGTGGACAGAGCTGACTCCATCTTGAAATGAATCCACCTGCTTAGTTTCTGAGTGAATGATTCCAGACCTTTGACCTCTCTTTCCAGGACTCTGGAATGTGTCCAGAGGCTTCCATCTAGTCACAGAGCTTTCATTACTTCTTCCTCTGCAGCAAGAAGCTCCAGAAGTTACCTCTCTTAGTGCCCTCCAGCACCAGGGTCTGCTGGTGTCTGGCTTCTTTGTCCCCCGGGCCACCCATGCAGTCCTTTTGGAGCATGTAGGTCTGTCTCTGAGAGGGGATGAAAGATAGTGGTCTTGGAGGGGAAAGATGGAGATTTGACTGTTTTGTAGCCAGTAAAGACAAGTGTTTCCTGTAAATTCTCTATTAAATAAAGCCTATTAACTCATAAACTGGACTTTTCAGTCTCATTCTTCGGTCTCTGCCCTTTAGGGCCGCTTTGCCTATACGGTCTTTTTATGGAACAGTTAGCTGTTATCTTTTTAAAAATAAACTTCTTATTTAGGATTGTTTTAGATTTGTAGAAAAGTTGGAGAAATAGTACAGATACTCCACATCTAGTTTCTCTGTCATTAACATCCTACGTTAGTATAGTAGGATATTAATGATACATTTGTCACAACTAGTGAACCAATATTGATGCATTATTATTAACTGGAGTCCATACTTAATTCTTTAGTTTTTACCTACTGTCCTTTTTCTGTTCTAGAATCTTATCTAGGATATCACATTTCATGTCTCGTTAGGGTCCTCTTGGCTATGACAGTTACTCAGACTCTCCTTGGTTTTGATGACCTTGACAGTTTTGAAAAGTCCTGGTTAGGTATTATGTAGAAATTCCCTCAACTGGGATTTGTCCACTTGTGATTATCTAGGTTAATAGGTTCTTGGGAGGAAGATCACAGAGGTAAAGTGCTTTTTTTCATCGTAACATATCATATCAGGGTACATATTATCAACATGACATATTACCATTAATGTTAACCTTGCTCCATGCCTCAGGTAATGTTTGTCAGGTTTTCCCTGTAAAATTACTCTTTCTTCCCCTTTCATACCAT